TCTCTGAGCAACATGACGGTGTTTCGTTCTTGAATGAATCACTCGATTAAATGATTCGGTTCAATCGCAATGACTCACTTATTAACAGTGATTTGCAGTATGAACTGACCAGCACACAGAATATGAAGAATATTAAAAACATTAGGAGTCAGCTGTCTTCGGGAGTCCTTAAGGTACCAGCACAATAACACACTCAGCAAAATATCGTCTAATTATCGTTATCGATAAAATCCCATAAAATATCGAGATATAATTTTTTGTCAATATCGCACACCCCTAATCTAGCCTTTATAATTATTAATTTGTTTATTATTATACTAAACTATATAGATGTTATTACATATTACATATTATAGTAAATGTCTCAAACTGAATTTTCCTTATGCACTATAAGTATTCAGTAACTACAACTCACTTGTTGAAATATATTTGAACAAAAAATTATGTACAGTGATGTTTAGGCATAAATAATATCCCACATAAACGGTTTAGATAGAGATATAGGACAACCACATACAGGTACACCCAAAAAAGCAATAAGCGAATAAATAAACTGTTACGAACCCCGTTTATCACATAGACATATAAATACCTTATTTTATAAGGTATTATATTATATTATATTATATTATAAGGTATTTACATATCTATGGTTTATCATGTCAATCATCTGCCTTCAACTTCACTGCAGCACAGCGCTTCTTCACCGTAATACGTCATGACGCACGGCGCAGCGGAATGACGTCAACTACAGTCGACGGCGCTGCTCTCTATTGTTTTTACTAGCTGTCCATACCGTCCAAAGATGGATCAAATATGTACTAGGAAATGATTGATGCAGTTCTTTATAATATTGTGGACTGGTCGATGATTTAGCGGAGAGTTTTAGCGACTCTGATTTCAGCAAAAATGAACAAAGGTTGGCTGGAGTTAGAAAGTGACCCGGGTGAGTCTCTAAATAAACATTTATGCATATAATACCATTAACTATTCATCAATAATTATTTTATTATTCATAAAATATGCTGTAAGTTAACATGTCATCTCGCAATATAGTAGTTGCATTTGCTGGACTTTGAGTTGAATGAATAACAGTCAAGGCACTCATTTTAACCTCTAGTTTATCTCATAATGTGACACTTTATCTCGTATAAAGCCGTTAGTTATAATACTGTCTGTTTTCTGATGTCTCGTTCTCTTTCAGGGTTGTTCACACTCTTGGTGGAGGACTTTGGTGAGTTGATCTGTTTGGCACAGTCATGCTTTTAATGTGTCAGTTACGATCTAAATATGAGTGATGGAGTTTGAATGTGATGAAAAAATATTTGGATAAAAATATAGGGTTTTATTTTTATTAGATGGATTTAGACACTTTGAATAAATGTGGGAAGAGTGATGTATATTGCTTATGTTTGGACTCAGGTGTGAAGGGCGTTCAGGTGGAGGAGATCTATGATCTTCAGAGCAAATGTCAAAGGTGGATTAATCACGCACTTTTACTTTTTGTAATTTTTAAGTCTTTGAGCTTAATTTGTTAACATGATTAATAATTTAAATAATTGTATATAGTATTTTTTTGGTTTGTGTATACATTTATATACATTTTTATCACAATTAAATTTTGTTGTTTTAAGCCTGTATTTTTATATTTATAAAGTACTATTAATTTCATAATAATATTAATAATTTAAATATTATTTCATTTTTAAAATTTATTTTCATAATTCTATCTACATATATATATATATATATATATATCTTTGTCAAATTTAAGTCTATATATTATATTTATTAAGTAATATTAATT